TATGTGAAGCAAAATCTTTGTACATGCAGCACGGTTGATATTTTATATATAATAATCATGTCGTGAGTAGTATGTGTATTTAATATATACAATAATGTTTTAATCTTCCTACTGATTAGATTTTTTTTCCAAATAAGTGTGGTTCCATCTTATCTTAAAATAAAAGTAAATTTATTAAAACGAATTTAAAGCTTAACTAACGCAGCGCGAAACAAATTCAAGGGAAACTCTTAAGAACACGAATTTTGGAATTCACGAAATTATGAAAAATTAAACTCACGAATTTTATTAATAAATGATAATAAAAACAATGAGATAACCCTTTATTTATAAGGGTTTACATGAAAACCTAGCTTAAGTGACTAAAATTAATGAAAATCTAGTTTAAACAAACCAAAGTTAAAAAGAATTCGAAACAAACTAAATAAAAAAAATAGCACTAAAACTTTAAAAGTTAGTTTATGAGTCCTAAACGAACTCGGATGGTCAAAATGCATCTTACGTCATGTCATAGCGATGAGTATTACTCGTATTGTCATCCTTTTTTCGGAATGCTATTATGAGCTCAAATCAAAATTCGGATATTGTATCTGCACTGTTACTTTTTCTCCATTTTGATCCAATTCTTCAACAATATGTTCTACATCATTAACAAAACATAATAGTAATTTTAAAGTTTCTTTTAAGTACTTTTTTTTTCCAAGCTTTTCTTTAAAGGTTACGTTTTTATTAAAGTTCAATACAAAAGTTGGCCTTCTTGTATATATATTATACAGCACACTTATGCCAGCTATAGTTTAACTTCAACCTCTGGAACTTATGTTAACCCTTTGAATTATGAAAGGGCCATCAGACTTGTACATGCATTATCCACTTAAATTTGTTTGAAAAATATTTTTAATTATTTATTGACAATTTGTATATCGACAATATGAATTTTTTAAAATTATGTGTTTAATTTGAAATTAGGCTATGAAGGAAGAAATAAATAATTGTTTCTTTTTCTATTTTTATATACATTTAATAAATGAAAATGGAATTATTTATAAATTTGTTTCTCCCTCTTCAACAGTTAATTTTGAAAAGAAATTATTATTATTTTTCCTAACATGCCACTGAGGCCACAGATAATGTTCTGTGAGTTCTTCAGAGTTGTATCCAACATGTCTTTAGATAAAGTATACTGAGCGATTGTCTGGGATAGCTCGAGAACTTGCCAAAAAATTCAGGTCAAAGTCAATAATTAATTTTAACCATACATTTTATGGAACCCACAATTTTTATCAACTTTTCAATTATATTATTTCATGAACTTCATCAAAATCTGCTAATTTTTTATCAAAAATTTTGTCAAACAGTCGCTGAATCAGTATATACAACACAGCCTAGGAATAGTAAAACTATGTGACAAAGAAAACCCAAGATGTCTTTCTTTTTTTTTTTTTCTTTTTTGAATTCTAGAATTCTCAGCTAGGAAAACGTTATTCAAAATACTCCAAATTTTCTTGTTTTCTTCACAATGGAAACTGAAAGCTGTCTTGGAATTTCAGGGAATATTTACTAAACCATCTAAATTATCAATTACAAGAAATTTTTGGTTCTAGTCGTGTATATAGTCTTAACATGTAACAATCGATTTAGGCCTTGTTCATTCAACTAGATAATGTGCTCTTCTAAGTTAGTCAATTATCTCCTTGTCATAGCTCTTCTTCTTCTTCTATACAAACACGTTATAGCCGAGGATTCTCAGGACGGTTTCCATGGAGACGAGAGAGACGCGCTTTTGACTCTCAAGAAGGGATTCAACAACTCATTTCTTAATGTAAACTGGACTGGCATTCAGTGCTATATGAATAGCACCCCTAACTGGTATGGCATCCAGTGTACCAATGGTCGAGTCACCGGTGTAAGTTTGGAAAACATGGGGCTTGTTGGAAAAATCGAGCCTTACGCACTTGTCAATCTTGCTGAGTTATCAATCCTTAGCTTCAAGAACAATTCCATATCAGGGAATTTGATGAATTTTTCGTATAATTCAAAACTGAAAAAAGTTGATTTGTCAGCAAACAGGTTTGATAGAGAAATCTCATCTTCTCTTCTGGGACTGAATTTCCTTGAGTCTTTGCAGTTGCAAGAGAACAATCTTGTCGGTTCAATACCGGGGTTTGACCAGTCGAGCTTGAGAGAGTTTAATGTGTCTTATAACAATCTTTCTGGGAAAATACCAGACACTGGAATTCTTCAATCATTTGGCCTTTCTTCATTTGTTGGTAACCAAGATTTGTGTGGTGCACCTACTCCCACAGCCTGCAGTAGCAGCTTAAACGATTCTTCTGATCCTCCACATAGTGATAACAAGAGTTCATTTTTATCAACCACTTTGATCGTGGTAGACGTAATTGTTCTTTTTGTACTTTCGATTTTCCTCATCATTTACTACAAGAAATATAAGAAGCTCAAAAAACAGATGCAGAGAAGGAACTCAGTCCAAGTCAATGAAGAAAAGCGCGAAGCGATTACAAATAACTCTATCGCGCTTACAGATAACTCCATAGAAAATAGTGTTCCTGCTCGAGAAGACGACAGAGGGAAGCTTATGTTCTTGGATAAAAATGGGACTTATTTCGAGCTTGATGATCTTCTTAAGGCATCTGCAGAAGGTTTAGGTAAAGGAAATTTTGGAAACTGCTACAAGGCTATGCTGGAAATTGGACCGGCTGTTGTTGTGAAACGCTTACGAGATTTAAAACCCCTAAGCAGTGATGAATTTATGAAACATGTCCATGCCATTGCGGATAAGAAACACCCCAACTTGTTGCCTCCTCTTGCCTACTACTACTCCAAAGATGAGAAGCTGTTACTGTATAAATATGCATCCAATGGAAACTTGTATAACCGCCTTCATGGTAAGTTTACTTCTAACTTTACAGGCATGTTTCGTACACGGTATTGAACGGTACTCAATAGTACATTGAATGGGATTTGAATTTCTTGTTCTTCTTTAATCGTGTTCAGTCCGAAGTACAAAACATGTTATCCATGTTTTCATGCCGTGAATTTTGTGCCTTTATGTTGTTACTTGTTCTCTTCTTGTTGGATAACCATATGCTTTCGACATTCTGAATCAAGGACCCTATTTTTTGTTCATAACTGCATTATGTTAACTATCCATACTTTGATTCTTCTTCAAATTTAAAATTCTTGGAAGTTTTTGGCTGAAACCCCTTTGAAAAGTTTAGTTTACTATAATTGTGCTCCGAATAAGACTCTATTCGGGTTTGATTGTATCATTGTTCTATAACTAGGATTAGGTTTATTGTTAGATGAACTTAACTGTTGATATCGAACGCCCCAAAAACAAGACGGTGGGTAGATCTAGGCTGTGAACAGCCAACCATGGTCATTAGAGTGACGAGGCCTAAGTTTATGGATGGATTCGATCAGTGGAAAATCCTCCAACTCAACAAGATGTCGTAACCCCTATTTCTTTATTGCATTTTTTCTTCCTTAAATGGCAAGCTAGGAATGGCATTACATGATTACAATAACCTATATCCATCGAAATCTCTAATTTCCACATATTCTGTAGAAGGAAGAGGAACCCAAAATCGAGTAAAATTCAGGTGGAGCTCAAGATTGTCTGTTGCTCATGGCGTTGCTCGGGCTTTGGGTTATCTACACTTGGCCATAAGATCACAAACCATTGCTCCACATGGAAATCTAAAATCATCCAACATTCTTCTTGATGAAAATGATGAAGTTCTAGTCACAGATTACGGCCTAATATCACTCATAGCACTTCCTATAGCAGCTCAACGCATGGTGTCCTACAAATCACCAGAATATCAAGGCCAAAAAATCGTATCAAAAAAGTCAGATGTATGGAGCTATGGCAGCATCCTCCTGGAACTCTTAACTGGGCGAATCCCAACCCACTCGGCCCCACAAGGCGCCAATGGAGTAGACCTCTGCAGTTGGGTTAACCGTGCAGTTAGAGAGGAATGGACAGCTGAGATATTTGATGTTGAAATAGCTGCTCAGAGAAGTGCCAATCATGGGATGCTTGGACTCATGCAGATTGCAATGAAATGCTGCGAAAAATCGCCCGAAAAACGACCCGAGATGGCTGAGGTTCTTAGAGAGGTTGAGGATATTAAGATTGTAGGTGACTCAGAAGATGAAGAAGATCTGTCTTTGGATCAATCTCTAACAGATGATTCCCTCTCTGCTAGTACTCCATCATTGTTAATTGCAGCTGAACGGAGATGATTTATTTTTCTTTAAATTTTATGTGTTTTTCCTTGGTTTCTGAGACCATAATATTGTTGTTCTTTCGAGGAAAATAAGGAAAGAGATTGATCTTTCATTTGTACACTTGAAATTTACTTTGAAATTGGATAGTCCTTGTAACATGACATTCTTAATAATAAGATTTGGTATTTGTTAATTCTTGCTTATGATTTTCCTTTGGTCAGACCCCATTTAAATGTCTTTTCAAGGACTCTAGCTGGAGAACATGCGACAATTATTTGTTTCTTCATCGTAGTAAATTATGTTTAAATGTTCAAAAGACAAGAATCATCTGTTCGAGTAAAGCAGGAATTGGATGCGACTTTTCGTGACATATTTCGGTAAAGGTGTCTAAATTATTAGATCCCACATTATTACTGATGGTTTGGGAGTGATTATATAATAATTTAAGCGGATCATACAACAATGTGTACATAAAAAGTAAGTAACGAGTTTTTGCTCCATAGAATGTGTCGCCAAAAAGTGGTGGATCNTCATACCACAATGTGTACATAAAAAGTAAGTAACGAGTTTTTGATCCATAGAATGTGTCGACAACAAGTGGTGGATCAATTTAAAATTAATAATTTAAACTTTGCCAAACGTGTTTCAAAGAAAATGTTCGACTTTTTGCTTTTGTTAATACAGTAAAATAACTATAAAATAATAATGTTGAGATCCGAGAAAAATTATTACTTTAGAGAAGTTATTAATTTATCGATAAATGAATAATTTATTAATTTATTGATAAATGAATGTTTATTAATTTTTATTATTTTATATTTTTAAAACTTGTATTATATTTTACCTTAATACATGTAGGAAATTTGAACAAAAAGTTAGTGAAGATGAAGGAATCAAAGAATTGTTTGACGCTGTTTCTGGTCTATGATAAGATGTTATTTATGCGAGATTATTAATTTATCGAACAATCATTTATTAAAGTTTTACTTTACTATTAATTTCCGAAGTACCAGCTCGGCTGCTCTCTTGGGTAGAGATTATTGAATTGACTATTTCTGGATATTTACCCCTTTCCTGTGAGTCGAAACTTACTTCACAAGGAATCTACCTACCTCAGATCTGTTACATTTACTGTCGATAAACAGCTAGTATAAATAATTCATCAAAAATATTGACGGGATTTATCGCCTTGGCTCATACATCAAACCCTTTAACCGAGTGATTTAGTGTTTTCGTCATTTCTCTTATGTTTTTGCATGCAAAATCTACCAACTCCTTCCAAAAATGAATGTAATACTCTTGTTCAAATACTTGAGCACATTTAATGTCCAAAATAAAATATGCCTGACTTCATATTTTGGCAATGCTGAAAAGTACACAGTTCAAATGAAAATGTCTACTTCCAGAAAGCAAATCTACAGTATCCACAAAATACAATATTAACGAGATTGCATGTGCCAAAACTCGAATAAAAGGAGCGGGATTTTAAGCTTTGCCAGTGGCATGACTAATCAAACTAAATTACAGTACCGGACAATACCTGACTAGCAGCATTTTCAGCTTAAGGGGTGAGGTCAACAAGGATAATGGAGCATAATCGATAATGATTCAATGCATTAGCTGAACTTGCCGAGTTTCCTTTTCCTTAATGCCTTCTGACCGTGGTATACGAATGAATCCACTATTCCGGCAACAGTGAATATACCTGGGGAAATAAATGACATCGGAGGGTTGAAATCTCATCCAAGTACTGCAGGCATTAATAGTATGTGGCATAAAAGGAAAGTTAGTGGAGTCTAAGATACGAAGATAAACGTCGTAATGCAATTAGGTAACCTTGATTATGAACTATAGTATCAACTTAAGTCTAACCATCACACTTTATGTGATTCCCCTACAACATATTCCATTTACACGGTGAAATCACATTATCAACTTCAAAATTCAAGCGAAAATTTCCATTCCTAACTATTTGGACAAGAACGAGTTTGCTTAACTGCTTCCCAGCACTGACATTCCCACCTCAAAGGAAGTAGCAAGTACAACTACAATGAATCAAAATTGAATAAGCAAAGGGCAGTACCCAGGTTCTTCCATTATTTATTTCCTTCTTTTCTTTTTTTTGCTTTTTTTTGTTTTTGTGGTGTGTAGGATGCTAACTTGTCATATAAAAAAATTTCAATTCTTGACCAAAATGGAAAGATTCGACCCCTGGACCTGGAGAAAGAAAACCCATACTTCCATCTATACATCTTCAAAGGGCAACGTAGCTTGGGGAAGGTGCCATCTAGCTCATAGTTAGACACAAGAAATGAAATACTTTATAGAATGATTTATCTTTAATCGACAGCAACCACTGCGTCTCACAGAAAGGAAATTTGTTTTTCTCTTAAAGTAAAATTCCTTTACCCCTATTAAGTACTCAAATGTGCACTGAGAATTGAAAGGTTTTAATGTCAGATATAATTTACATTTTTGGTTATGATATAGCATGATGGGGGCAGGCCCTTCCCGTCGCCCACCCGCAGAGGATTTTGGGAGGCAGGGGCCGGGGTAGGCCATGGGGTTAAAATATCCCCATTTCAGCTCTATTTACTTATTTATTTTTTCAAATAAGAAATAAACCTAAAAACATAAAAAATAGAATATAATAAAGAATAATAGTCTGGGCATAGACCATGTTTCATAGACCATGTTTCCCGTCCCTGCCGAGATTCCTCCACCCTGGAGGGCAGGGCATTTTGCCATCCCAAGCATGATGCATTGTTAGGGCCCACCAAAACTGGCATGACTTTCTGCAAATCATTTTTACTACTAATCATGTCTATATAAGGGTAATGGAAATTTACTTGTAAAAGAAAAATATAGTCAAATCAAATTAGCATGGGTAAGGTTTTGTACTATTGCAAGGGTAGTCCTAGATTCTTCTTCCATATGCGTGTTCCTGGTAAGAACTTCGTGATATTCTCGATTTCTATTTGTCTTAATCTTCTTCTGATAAAATTAAATAATAGTTATAAAACCACAGGCTCTCATTCCAGAAGTCAACAAACCTGTAACTATCAGTTAAAGAAGAGTGTACATTATAATTGCCAGTGTTCTGAAACTGAACTCATTCAGCCAGTTCGATAGGAAAAACTAGAAACTAGACTGGTCATTGCTTAAAAACCAGGATAAACCCTGCCGTCCGGCTGGCTCAACCGAGATTGGTTGAATTGCCCATGGGTTGTTCGGGTTGATTAGGTGCCTATCATATAACCTTGATATTTGACTTTTGTTTTCCTATTTTACAGAAAGTCACTTGTATCCTTAGCCTATGTTTGGCCCCCATTTTTTCAAAACTTATTTTCAACCACACATTCTTCTGTAAAATAATATTACACATAAATCGAAAAGCTTTCCTTATTTAACCACACAATCTCCAACAAAACACTATTCAAAAATTCATCCCAAAATGGGGATCAAACAATGGCTTGATATTAATAATTATTTACCTCCAGTTCAACCGTTTACGGCTCTCAACCCTATACATTTTCCAGGTCCGTGGCCAGACGGTTTCAAAACATTGATAAAGAACAAGAAAAGGAGAGGACGGGGATTCAAATAATAAATTGTGAAATCTCATTACCTCCAACTATGGCACAAATATGTGTCAGGAAGTGTAAGAATGGTGCGTGTTCCTCTGTAAATGTCACCTGTAACAAGCAAAAACAATTAGACTACTGCATCCTAGATATTGAATCTGGCTTCGAGGCTAAGCTATTTCTTTTTAGAAGTGCTGATTTTGTCTCAAAATTTTGGAATTCTTTTAATACAATGTCTATGAAGTCTAGTGCAATCTGGGCAAAGCAATGCTAACCTTAATAGGATTAATGTCATAAAAGAAGAAAACCCCAGGAATATTTCGGAAGTGATCCGCTTCTGCGCCCTTATAATGCTCAGTCACTGAAAACTGAGAACACAAGTACCATCTTACAACGTGAAGAGATGAAAATTACAGTTGAAGAAATTTTCCATCTTTGAAAAGTTCAAATACCTGATTTGACTGAATTGTACGGCCTCTAATGTCGGTGTATATGGTTGGAACCACCTGCAAAGTCAGGCAGAAATTCAGACTTTCTCACTTCTTAAACCATCAAATTGGATCTCTTTAATTTTAAAGAATCATAATCAATCAATTCAACCACATGATTCTAGCTACAGCTTAAAAGTAGACAGATTCACCAATATTTCATACACAATAATCAATTTTAAAGCACAAGTGACGTGCCTACTTCAGCATTCATTTCTGATACTTTGGCATGCTTTTGTACTTCTACACAGTACAAAAGCGTGTCTCCATGGGCAAAGTAAAATGTATTCTGAAGTTTAATCTCTCTTTTATTTCCTAATAGGCAAATGGAAGAACACATTTGAAGAACCTTCATATTTTTCCAAGCTCATAAACATTGTGCTCTGTGTGTGTTGGGGGGGGGGTCCACTGACCTTGAGAAAATACTGATACGCTCCATTTGGTGTTTCTTCCACCCATTGAACCCTGAATGAAAATAAATAAAACTAGATATAATGAAGAATATAGAGTAGAAAATGAAGGATTTTTCTTTCCTTTTAGCTGGAAGCTTTGGAGTAGTAATTTTTTTTTTCTTTCGTTTTCAATATTTTGAATGTCTACTACTTAAAGCAAATGACAATTACTCTAGAAGACATTTCTCAGATGCAGGAATATCTAGGTTCATCTAGAGAATGTGCACAGCACATGCTTCTGAAGTATGAAAATTCAAGACAATGAACACTCTAATTAACTGTCATTTCTTGCATGATACTAAACCGCAGGCAAAAACTAATTATACACTTGTGTTTTCATATTCATTAAACAGAAATTTTGAACTGGTTATAGATTATATATGCCCAGCGTATTCTGAAAAATTACCCATCTAGTGGATTAACAATTCCAGGAATTGAATCTCCAAATGTTAGCTTGTTAATCTTGTGGCTTATCTGCACAATATGTAATGAAGTTCATAAGATGACAAGTGTAAAAAAAATTGAAATTAATGGAGAATTTGAATAAAAGTGGTTTCCATTCCAGAGATAGAAAAGATGGACATGCTAAAATGGAATTCTAATATCATCCAGTGAGAAAATAAGATGGTATTTTACATTATAACTTTCTGTTTGCAGAGCAAGCAAATCAAGCAAGTGGAAATTCGATTGATGAAAGCTTTTGCCTGGGACAAAGTGAAAATTTCCAGCCACTTTGTTAACCTCCAGAGATCCCTGGATATTGCATCCTTCACCCACTTCATCTTTAACTTTTTGGATGAAACCTTCTCTTTTACACTAATTATCAGGAAAATAATATATCAGAAAAAATTATCAGATTCCATTGGAGCAATAAAGTTTGCATGAACAAATTAAAATTTCAACTTCAAATTTAAAATGAACAGAATTGAGCCACCAAAGCTACAGCTGATGATTCAGAAGTTGAAAGAAATTAAGGCCGCCAAATATATAAAAATAAATAAATAAATAAAATACTGTCAATTATCATCCAAAGAGTAACTATGCAGCTCAGGTCTATGCAAACAGTTTTGAAAAATTTAGAATTGAAGTGGCTCGGTGGAAACAAGTAAGAGGATATTCTCTTTTTTAGATTTGATGAGCAAATCTACTTGTGCATATACAATCATCTTAATATACAATCATCTTCTACTTGAGAGTTTACAAAACCTTCAAATGAAACAAAACCTTCAAATGAAACACGGCCAGAAAGTTCTCTGGATTGGAGGAAACAACTTTCAATGTGGTTCCCACATTAAAAGAAAGCCATCTAGTAGATTAGTACCATTAGTGAAGAATTTATGCAGTTAATCCTCCCAACAACCTAATCAAAAAAGTAATACTTTGCCTTGGTTTCAGCCAAAACATTATGTTAACCATCTCTGTAGCACAAATATTTCAATTAAGGTAGCGTGTCCGTGTCCGACACGTGTCAGATAGACACGTTTCGGAAACTCTACCGTAATCATTTTTCTTTTTATATTAAAAATATTATATATTGTTAATTAAAAGTTATTATCAAGTAACAACTCATGTTTAAAAGATTTAAAAGTTATGGAAGATTTCAAAGAAAAATTAGTAACAAGTACAAAATTAAATTTATATTATATAAATGAAGATTTTTAAGAATTTAATCAATGTGTCGATAACGTGTCGTGTCTGTATTTTTTTAAAAAAATCGCGTGTCGACATATCTGACACATCATATCGGACACATGTGTCCGTGTCGATGCATCATAGTTAACCATTGAACCAAGTTGTAATTGTGAATCACCATAGAAACAAAAATCCAAAAAAATGAAACACTGTATGCCACTAACCTGATCAATTAATTCTAGGTTTGTCATCCCCCAGCCTCTCTTTTGATATGCATCACGAACCTCTTCACATGAATTACAACATTGATCATCCGACTGCAAAAGAAATTCAAAAAAAAAAAAAAGATATCCCCATCCATCACGTGTTTGAGAAAAGAGAAATGAAAAGCTGCATCCATGATGTAGGGGTAAACATAGGAGCAAATAACCTAAAAGTGGACACAAGGAAAGATCTTCAGAAGATAATATCTAAAGCAGTCCCAATATATTAGGCAATGAATCACCTCAGTATATTCATCTCTTTTTCAATATTTCTACAGTGTAGCCAGTGGCGAATCTAGCGGTTTGAGTCAGCCCAGAAGGCTGTTGACGGTCGACCGTTGCCGTTGGCAGCAATAAAATATTAAGAGCAGCGTTTGATGCCTATTTTTTTGCAAAAAACGCATTTTGAAATAGTGATTTGATGGAGAATGTATGGTTAAAAATAAGAACAAGTTTTAAATTTGCATGTAATATTATTTGTTTTATTGAAAAACTGTAATTGAAAAGAAGAGAAAAAAATGTATTTTAAAAAAAAAAATCAAACAAGGTCTAAAATTAAATATAACAATTATTTTGTTCAAAATGAACATATATTATTCTGTTGTACAAATTAGCAATATTCATCATATAATATTGTGATCAAGTTTTGTATAATTCAAAGGAAGAGCACGGATTCAGATTTTTACAATTGCATTAAAACCACTAAAATTCAACATATATTATTCTAGTAAATTTAGTGACAAAATTCAACGAGTACCGTAATGGTCAAGCTTTCAATAATCCTAAGGAGAGCTCACAAGTTCGAATCCCCTCCCTTTTGCATTAATTTTGGTAAAAATTGTAGAACTAAAAATATTTCACAATAAATTGATTGGGAAGGGATTTGAAACCGAGACTTCCACTATGAAAATACAAGTTCTAACCAGCTGAGTTATAAGAAATGTTTAAAAATAAAATAAATTACCAGTTATATAATCTAAAAAGTTCATCTATTGTCAACAAAAAAAATTGTTCCCGATGGATCAGCACGCGCGGCCGTCGGGTGCTGGATCTGCCAATGAGTGTAGCCGAGACTAAAGTAACATGCAGCACTACGAAAATAATGTTAAATTACAATTTTGGCCTTGTTATGTAAATAACCTACAACAATATTATTCAACTTTTGCTTTCTCTGGCACAACTTGAAGTGATACAAAGCAGAAAATATGAAATCAAGTGCCCAAAGCTACAATAGTTTGTGCAAATTCACAACTTCTTTTAATTATGCTGAATACAAGCCAGGCAAGAGCACTTTCTGCACTTCCTCCTCCCTCCACTGCCAATCCTCCTCACTCCTCAGCTTGTCCCTCCCAACACTCGCTCAAACTCCTACAATAATAGACTAAGTCTGATTCACTATGACTTTAGTTGGCTACTTGAATCATTTCTTGTCAATCCCTCTGCTCCATCACTACATCTATTGGAGATCCCATGCAAATAAATATTCGCAACCACATAACCATGTTAACTTTGGTATACTTCTTCCTCTTTTAACCTATTTTAGTAGGACATTGTCCCTCTTATGAATAGGAGCTTCTTAGGTAACATGTCAAACCACCTAAGCCATTGTTCTTTTAATTTGATGTCACATCCACTTGTTTCTGTTTTCTCATTTTTATCTTATAATGACATAAATCAATATAAGTATCATCATTTCCACTACTTTTATCCTAGACATTTTCTCTAAACCCATCATACAGTACCATAAAGCATAGCAAGTCCATTACCCATTACGTAGAACTCGGGTCTTAACTAAATATGTTTTTTCATTACATAGAGTTTATGTAGAACTTGTTATTTCATGCAGCATGCTCTAATCCCATGAATTGCATCCTCTTTTATGTCCATCTTCCTTGTAAACAATCAAACCTAAATTCATAAAACAACTCATTGGGACAGTCTGATCCTCTATAATAACTCTGCTATCCTTGTAAGGAAGCAAAAATTATTGCCAAACACATTTCAAATCTGTTGTTTTCGAATTTTAAATAAATAGAAGAGCTAGGTTGATTTCTGTACCACAAAGTCAGGTGAGTAATTAAGGTATAAATGATGACAAAAAATGGAGATCAAAAAGCAAGCTCACATCCACCATCCATGGTAAACCCAAATCAAACCATAATAATGTTTCAATTAAATATGATGTTTCCAGAATTTTCCATTAATTGGCAAACATTCTTAATGCCTGATTCAAATCAAGCAGCTCCTGAGCTTAGTAAAAAAATGTCAAGATAAGTACAGAAGTCTATTAAACAGGGAAAAAAGGGTACCATTTCAGCACCATAGCATGAACCACAGTATGTCTCATTGTGCTCAAGCCTGCCACCATGTCTTTGTAAAGGCTTCTCAATCTGGATTGTATAAAATGAATAGGAGAGACAGGTAGTCAGTGAACCAAACAAATAAAAAAGAGAAGCAACAATTTTATGAAACATGTCTCAACTATCAATTCTAAGATAAATCATTGTACTACAGTTCTAATAGAAAATATTTCCCCAAGTATAAAAAGAAAGAGATGCTAAGAATAAGTGATACAATTATTCTCCAACATAAAAAGTAAAGTATTTTCCTCGATCTCAGATAATATTATTTTTTATATTCAATGTTCAGAATGTAATATAAATTAATCTAGAAACTATTCCCAGGATCCTTACCAGTTAAGAACATATATATAAGACATATTCCATTAAATCACATTTCTGTACCTCCTGACAGTAAGAACCATTCACCAAAGTCGGATTTACCATGTGATATGAATAATACTACTTAAGATGGGATCCGATACGAGGAGATATCATAAATCATAAAAAACAACTGAGCCTTGTTCCCAATAAATTTGGGATCTGCCATACAATTTCTTTCTCATCACTCCCTGTGGTTCATTGCAAGATCTACTAAAAGATCCGAAGCAACTAAGCCTCCATTTGTGAAGAATTTATAAATGGATAGAAATGCGTCGTACATAAGTAGATAGTACTTGTGGGTCCATTGAAATGTGTGATAGAAAATGAAGTTTGACCATTTATAAATGGTTTTCAAAATTTTCCAAAGCGGAGGCTAACTTATTAGAAAACACGTCAAGCCATGTTTGTACTGGTTTATTCCAGCATATGCTAACTTGTTCCGCTGATTTTATGTCACTCTTATGAACAGGAGATTCCTTACATTCACGTAAAACATGTCCCAACCACGATGACGGATCCAGGAATGTTGGTAAGCTAGGGCAGTAACGAGATCGTTTATTAATATTTAATTAACTAATATTAAAAATTCTTCAATCAATATATAAATGTACTAAAACGCAAAAATCATATACATATGAAAATATAATCCAATACAACCTAAAATAATAAGAAAAATACATGATACAACTTTTATGGTGGATGATTGAGGGCTAAAATAAGATTAGAAAAAAATTCAAAAAATTATAATGACAATCGATATATTAGTCCAATATATTATAATTGATGAATTAATGAACGTCCTCAGTCCACAAGAACATTTAACAAGCGTCAAAATACAACCTAAAATAATAAGAAAAATACATGATACAACTTTTATGGTGGATGATTGAGGGCTAAAATAAGATTAGAAAAAAATTCAAAAAATTATAATGACAATCGATATATTAGTCCAAGATATTATAATTGATGAATTAATTAACGTCCTCAGTCCACAAGAACATTTAACAAGCGTCATGTCAACTTGGAAGTTACTTTCACAAGTAGAGTGACAATCTGTAATATTATTCAACTTCAATGACCAAATAGGCTACAAGAATGCTTTAAGCACCAATGTGAAATTTCACGCAAACAACTCCCATGAAGGAAAGAAGAAAAAAATGGATAAATGCCCTATAGAGAAAAAAAAAAGAACTTAGAGATTTAAACCACGCTGGTTAACTCATTCACAAGACAAGTATTGAGGGGGTCTTATCAAAAGACAAGTATTGAGGGGGTGGGTCATTTAGGATTGGACTTTAGGACTTATGTCATGAAAAATAAGGGCATATCAAACTCGATTCAAATCAATCAAAGGTGAGTCATCTTCGAACAATCTATTGATCAATCAATGTTTAATTTGATTTATAGAGTTTTTCTTCATGGGATTGGTAGGTCCTCCGTTAGAATTATTTCACAAAATCCTAAATCTCGTTTTGTTCAACTCGGCCCATTTGCATCAGCAACAAACAAATCAAAACCTAGATGAAAAAAAATGAAAATCTAGAACAATTTACTGTTACTTACCTCATTCAGAAAATCTATTACAGCCTCCAAGTACGTGGATTTTGATTCTACAGAAAAACTCGATATGGGAGGGAGATATGACTTACGATATGAGAGAAGAGAGGGCATGAGCTATTACCATGTTGCATTTGATTTTGGAATTCATTTAGGGGCAACAACCGGGTACGGCAAGTATATGACCAAACCAATCCTCTCCACTCCTCAACATCAAGCCTTCAGCTTTGGGACAAAATGTTTTAAATTATTAAAAAAAGGCCCACTATCTTTTAAAAAAAAGGCCCAAACATATTATGTCCTTCTTTGGTATTGAGCTCAACAGCCAACGCCAACCTGTAAAAACTGATCTTGTTGCCGGCCAACCGGCGGAGCCAACACGAGCTGCTGCGCCTACTTGCCGGGTGCTGGCTCTGCCACTACCCAACCAGCTAAGTCATCATTTCCTTAATTATCCTAAACATGTTGGCCATCCACTTGTCGGTATATATTTTCGTACCTTGCTTGTCTATTTTACGACCACATGTCCAACTTAGGATGATTATTTTCACTACTTTCATTCGAACACTATAAAGCATAGCAAGTCTAATAACTATTGTGTAGACCTGGGCTTTTAAACTTATAGGGAATCTATCACAGAAAATTCCAGTAGCACATTCTCTTTTTCATCACTCTCTCTCTAATCCTATGGATTACATCCTAGTTAATTCCCCTTTCCTCTTAATAAGTTGAGGCATAAGCCTAGATACAATAGATAATTGTTTGTATGATTTGGCTTACATCTCCCGAGATCATCTCCTACCGGGGGATTCTCTCTCTTCACGATCTAGGGCCTATGAGCCCCAAGACACATTCATTCTTAAGGTTAACTAACCACGTACTCTAAGAGTGAGCTTGGGGCACTTTCATGGAGCCTTGTCGATGGAGGCTTCATGAGCCTCAAGGCGTAAGCTTCGGCGCTTTTAAAACAATGATTGGCAACAATTTCGCGCATATATTTAGGTATTCATAATCAAGTCAGCATGAAAAAGGTATTGCAGCCAATTACATTCAAGGATAAGACAATACATAATATCGGTCTCTAAAACACGGACAAGTTTGATAACGACAACTGACAGAAATAGAAGTCCTGATCTAACAAAGAAAAGTATAAAAGAGTTAAATTTTCACTAACCTTCGGCGCGCCAATTCCATCCTGTCTGACTTCTATTACATTATCATTGGAATCAATTCTTTTCTTGAATATGTCATGTCTCTGTGAATTAAGTGAAGCATGGTACCAACCAATTCGTTAGAGAAATTTATCAAGAATAGAGATGAGAGCCAAAGAACTAAGCTTGACCCCACAAGTAGGAAGTGTTATACAGTAAAACAAGTTGACGAGAACTATAAGCACTACATACTATGTCAAGATGTCGCTCCCCACTGATATCCATGGCATCAAGACTGAGTAATGTACAAGGAATGGCAGGAAAAGTGACGTCAAACTGCAAATAAATGAGAAGGTACAAAGAATAAATTTACTGAAAGAATTTGGAATGGAGAGCAGTACAATTATAAATTGTCCAAGAATACCAGGAGCGAAGGGGATAAAAACAATAAAGCCCTACCTAAAGATAAAATTTTAAAGCATACGGAAAGAAATCAGGCTCCTTGTCAATTTTATGGTCACAAAACTACCTCACAACACCATGATGCAGATAACAGAACTTCCATAATATATGAATTACAAACATTTACAAGTATAGTTCAAAAGCATTTTATATAAAATAAAAATTTCTTCACGTAGTTCGATTGAAAGTAATGGTTTTACAAAGATAATAATAAAACAACTCCGTGAGAAATTCATAGAAAATAAAAATTTATTTGGTACTTTGACATAAAGCAGTGATCTTACATTGATATGCAGTTTTCCCCCTCTAGATGTGTCTACTACGAGCTTTGTATTTGTAACTGTGTGAAGGTACAGTCCTGAAATTTCAGAATCCAGCAAATATGAAATTGAAGTTAATGGAGTAACAAAATACAAACTGTAAAATATTAGATTCATCATCCTCCGCTAGAGTTGTATAGATGGTGACATTCTTTCAAATGATCATAAATAAAGGCAACTGCACATCTAAGACATAGTCGCAGCCAAGATTTGGTATTCACCATAGCTAAACCTATTTTCATATGATCACATGTAAATGGCATTTCTGTGACAAGACAACTCCTGACCAACTAGTGACAGAACTAAACTCCTTGAACAAGAACTGTCCTACAAGACATCTTTATGAAACCCGTGCAACTCTTAGATGTGAATTAAGACAATGAGGTTGAAAAAAGGAGAAGTAATCTTCCCATGAAACTTCGAGAAATTACCCATATTTCTTCAGAAGATATTAGTATTACCATTTGATTATCAGCCATTGAACTTGAAATAGATTTGCATAGACCTTACTCTACAGCAAAAAATGATACAAACAATTTTAGGCAATCTCAGATACAGTAAAGAAAGTAAGCTTCCAGAATGTTTTGCATTCATGCTGGATTTTTGTTATTCATATGAGATTTTTGTTCGCCATGATATGGAACAAAAAATTCCAGTGAAATGAGTAATTGCTTATTCTTTTCTTTTCTAATTCTGTCCACAGCTGTTTTATGGAATTTGAAAATACAACCATTCCATCACAATCAGAGCCCTATAATGACTACTATGCAATCACAAGTGTAACGGAAACAAATATCTTAACTTCTCATCGTATTTACTACTTTCCAAATCCCAACATCAAGCAAAACACCCCTCTCTCCCTCCCTCAATATCTTCTTTCATTTTTTTTCTAAATTTTCTTTCACACCATGGCTCAATGCCAATAATAGATTTCTTGGCCTTCTAAATAAGCGTAAGGGCAGTTGCTATTCTTATCAGTTTGATATCTCCAAAGAATCTTCATAGAAACTATCATTCTAGTTTCTGGTCGAGACCTCCACTGCAATCAGTTCATATCAAACCCCAGCTAACCAAAGCCTAAAATGGCCAATTAATAAGCCTCAAACATAACCAGCCCTGTATCCTTTGGGCCCTCATGTTAGCAGCATCAATTAATGATGGTTCTGTGCATGCGATCTTCATTTACAACAAAGGTATTGATCCTCACTTCGAGTCCATTGATGAACCAATTAGTGGAGATTAGTTTAGTGTTATGGCCATTCCTTTAATACTTCTGGCTCTTGGGAGTTTCTTTGTAGGATAATTGGCCTGCTAAGACTGGATATGCCGAATCTGAGAAACTCTAAGAAGGGAACTATTGAAGCTTCCAGCTTTACACCTATATGGATTTTGGGAGCGTGAAACAAAAAAGTTTAACTTGCAAATATCAATTCAAGGAATAAAAAGGTAATTTCCTATAGTAAATTGGAGACGGCACAATCTTCCATGTATGTGCATCATGTCTAGAGCCTTATTTCCAAATCCAATTTCCTCTTTTCCCACAACAAATACTTTCAAGCTTTCCAACATTCCCGTCAAAAAGTAAAACTTCGTTAAGCACTTTTAACATGGAAGAAATCAGTTTCTCTATTTCTCATCTGTCCCAAATAAGCATGACATTTTAAAAAAATTCATTCACCTCCACCACTGAGAAGTAGAAAGAAATCATCACAATTGTGTTAAAAATCTTCGAATTAAACTTATCCGATGCTAGCTTTTATAAACATGAACACAAAATTACAGAACACCACTAAGCCAAACATGTAATCTAGAAAATTCCAGTACTCCTAAAAGGTCAGCCCAATAATCAATTAATCAAAGAAAATAAAGTAAATGGATTGCAAGTTGAACACATACTCAGTTCGGAGAAGAATAGCACGAAGATGAAAATTGAGGAGAAAAGCGTGATAACACCACCGGAAAGTGTACGGCTGTAGAAATCCTCATTGATTTTCGGGTACGCATCCAAATTCCGGAGCTTATTGTACACTTTATCAATTTGGAGCTTATTGTACACTTTATCCATGCCTATAACCCTCCACTAAGCAATCTTCTATTTCATATAACAATCAAATATGCTAAAATTACAACACAATAAAGCATAAATCTTGACAGAAACCTATTATTTATGTAATTGCTTTTTCTTCTTTCTCTATCTACTATGGAGGTGTCGGAAAACGCCACGGGAGACGGCGGCGGAGAAACAGAGCAATCTTTGACTATGATTATGTTATTGTGCGTGAAAAGCAATTTTTTTGAGATTTGTGAGAGATTTTTTTTTTTTTTTTTTAAAGATTTGTTGGACAATTCCGAGGTAACCTAATTGTCTACAACAACAGGTGTCAAACTCGACGGTCGGGCTTTTCTTTTCATTTTACTTAGGTAAAATAGCAGTAAAGGTCCCCAAACTTTTACACATATCGTACTTTAATCCATCGACCTTTGAATAGGAGCATTTAAATCCTCAGTCTTTGATTTAGGTGACCCTTATGTTCTCAGTGTATCATTTGCCCCTGCTATGAGCCACACAAGCCACAATCTTATTCGGATCAACATAACCAATGAGTATGAGCTTGCTTTGCTTTAGCTCTACTGGATTAAGGTCACACCTTTCATTCTCTCAACGGACTGTTGTACCTTCCTCTCACCTCCTGCACAATCTAACTTCACTTTTTTATCTCTATTAACTTAAAAGAAAAAGATTGGAAGTGTTCCATCTAAATCTACGTGAAACCATGTAAGTGCCACCATGGAAGCGAAGGCCATGTAGGTCTGAGATAAGACGCTACGTGACTATGGGTGAATTTAGGGAGACTTGAGCGAGTTTTAGTCCGATTCATGATTTTAACTTTTCAATTCAAAAATCATGTGATAATTCAAAAATTTAATATTAATAATAGTGTCATCAAATAAAATTAATCTACCTGATAGCCACACCGAATTTCACTCCCAAACATTTCCTCTCTCTCTGTCTCTCTCTCTCTCTCTCTCTCTCACACACACACACACACGGAAGACATTGTTGCCGGGTGGCTGCCATCGGAAGATCCTCACATCGCAGCACATAACGCCGCGTATGGCTCAGCACTGCCTCACTGTAGCGGCGCTGCATTGTTGCGACGTCGCGACCATACCTCGCAGAAGCGCCCCTACAACTTCATGATGTTGCTTTGCAGTAGTGCTACTAACGGTAGCGTCCAATGCTTCCTAAAATGGTAGCTTCGCGATGCAGCCTTACAGTAGCGTTATCCAACGGTGCTTGAGATGGTGCACCAAAGAGAAAATGGGGAAAATTAGGATTTGGGGATGGGAACCTCTAGTGCAATTTTTGAAATTACAAATTCTGCTTATAATTTCAAATTGAGGGTCGGTTTGCAAATGTTGGTGGTGGTGGTGGTGGTAAAGAGCCTTTTTGTTGTTGTTGGCAATGGATGGTGGTGTGAGTAGCTGAATGATGTGTGAGTCGCTGGTCGAGAGGTTGCAGGAAGGAGAGTAGACATCGTTGTCGATAATAGGTTAGATGAAGAGTTGATGCTTGTCAGGAGAGACGGAGATGACGGTGTTTTTGGTTGTTGTGGATCGATCGACGGCAGAGATGAATAAAGTGCTCGATCGATGGATCTCTTATCCTTGGGATTCTCTGCCGGCAGAGTTTATTTAATTTTTGAAATTAAACAAGCTCATCCACTTCCTGGAAACAGCATCAAGGTCGAGATGGTGATAGTTATGGGTGTAAGGATTACTGGATTGATGTGGTGATGGAGGCGTAGTCGGCGCCACTGCAGAGTAAGAAGGCTGCAACCGGAGTTGGTGGTGTCGGTGAACCTTTTCTGTTCTATGAATAGATCGCGATTTGACTACCGGGTAATTTGTTGTGACCGTTTGTGACCGATCGTGACAGGTTAATTATGACTCGTTGTGACCAATTATGACTGATTGTGACTTGAAATTCTGGAAATTTTTTGGAAGTTGGGAATGAGTAGATGTGGTGAGTAGGTTGATCGGAACATGCATTGGAGTGGTTATTGAAGTAGTTTGCCAGAGGGATCGTGAATAGCCGCCGAAGAGAGCGTCGGGGTGATCGTCAGAATAGTCGTCGGAGCGGCCGTCGAAACTGTCACCGGAGCGGTCGCCTCCGAATGAGAAAATGGGTAGGGAGAGGATAGAGAGTAGAGAGAGAGATAATGATTTGAATTTGAAATTTAATAAATTTGGGTAATTGTATTATATTATAATTAAAAATATTTAATTAATTGACTTAACACCTGATTTTTTAAAAGATTTTTGAAGTTTGTTATTTTTTAAATGTAATTTTTATATATAAGATTTATGTATTGTTCCCATTTATAAATAGGGTCTATTGGCCAATTTTTTAGGGCCACAAGGCCCAACGAAATTGCCATCCCTCG